CGATCCGATGTTGACTTTAACAAGCTTTTTTCAAAATTGCTTAAATATTAATATTTTTTGAGTTGATAACGAAAAACTAAATACCATTTTTTTAAATCTTATTTTGTTAATAACAATTGCAATTTTTCACCTGCACCAAAATCCTTCAAAAACATTTCTCTGAAGGTGATTCCGAATCGAATCGCTCATATTTTCAGGACCTTTATCTCTATTTTTCATGTTTTTGAACTTGTTGATTAGACTAGATGTTGAATTTCAAAATCGTAAGTTTGTAACTTTTCGATCCACCTGGCTATTTGTTCTTCTGGTGTTGAAGAGCCATCGAAGTGCTGAGTGGTCTGACCTGATAAAAAATGTACGGTCATATAAAAAGGAGTGGTAGTGATCCACTGCTTTGACCACTGCGAGGAGTTCTTTTCTAGTAACGCAGTAATTTCTTTAGGACGTTTTGAGGGATTTACTGAAATATCTTATGACGACTTCTTCCTCTTGAAAATGAGAAAGTACTCCTCGTATTCCATGTTGGGATGCATCCGTTGTCCAGTATAAACAAGAGATCTTCCTTTAGGTATGCCAGGATCGGTGCACTAGTCAAATGTCTTTTCAGGGTAGCAAATGCTCGCTGGCAATTTGGAGACCAAACGAAGGGTGTTCTTTTTTCAGTCAAGCTTTGCTTTTCCAAAGTCTTTCACGAAACGCCGGTAATAGCTAGAGTCCAAGGAAACTTCTTACGTTGTGCTTGCTCTTCGGTGTTGGCCATTCTCGCACTGCCTTGATTTTCTCTGGATCTGTTTTTCCTCCTTTTGAAGACACAACGTGTCCCAAGAAATTCACCTTTTCCTGGAAGAGGCAGCACTTCTTGGGATTGATCTACAAATGAGCATTCCGCAGCCTCGTAAAAACACTCCTCAAGTTTGACAGATGTTCGTCAAAACTTTTTTCGGTGACTATATTGTCATCAAGATAGACCAGGGTTGTTTCCAGTTATGTCCTTTCAACACCAACTCTATCAAGCGTTCAAATGTTGCGGGTGAATTGCATAATCCGAATGCCATAAACCTAAACTGGTATAATCCATTGCCACTGGCCACCTGCCAGTATCCGCTTTTCAGATCTAATGTTGAGAACAATCTGCATTCAGCCAAGATGCTCAGGGTGTCATCTATTCTAGGGAGAGGGTAACTCTCCTTTCTGGTGACATCATTAAGCCTCCTGTACTCTACGCAAAATCTCGTTGATCCTTCTTTATTAGTCACTAACACAACAGGTGACGACCCGGGGGCTGTTTTCCTCTATTACTCCTTTCTCCAACATGCCCTTAACAATGGATGAAGCTTCGTCTTGCTTTGCTTGCTTTGGTTGAAGTATGGGCTTGGCATTACCAGTATCGATCCGATGTTGAACTAAATCCGTTCAATCAAATGTGCCCTTCACAAACATATCGTTTTATTCCTCTACGAACCGTGTGGCTTCGAAAAGTTCTTCAGACAGATGTTCCACGTCCTCTTGAAAGTGTCGATGAGTTCTTTTGGAGGTTGTTGAGCACGCTGTAGAGGGACCTCGTATTAGATTCTGGCGATTCTGGCAGATGCCTATTATCTGGTCAGGATAATTCCTGCTTCAAAGCTTTCGGATGGCTCTATTAATACTGTATCCAAGCCATCATGCCCAGCAATTTCCGCTTGAATAATTTTCTCGGTGTTGGGAGAGATTCTGGAATCTTCCATAGTAACCACCTTGCCGCTGTCATAAGGCTGAGAGGGCGCGTCGAGCGCCCTCTCAGCCTTATGAAGATGGCTATTTGAAGGCTGTTTGAAGATGCAAAAGCAAACTATTCGCTGTACAACCCCAAACTATAAATGGTACACTAAACATGAGAGAACGATACTTTGATAATAACACCAATACACCATGCATAACACACGCGAACCTGCCATCTTTGTCCAAATGTCGATTTCAACGCAAAGCTGCCAAGCGTTAAGGGGCAGCAGCTTTCACAGAGATTCGACTGTCGCGCGCTACACTTCAATTAACCAATGAGAAAAGTTTACTCCAATACTTCACTTCTCCACATCTCTGTTGTCAGGATTTGTCACTTTGTACTTGAATAATTTCAAATAGGATGAGAATAAAATCTTCAAATATTTTTGTTTTTAATAATATCGAATTATTTGAATACGTCATCATGAGATAATTCAAAATTCCACTAATACACCATATTAGTATTCCAAAATATACCGTGAGGATATATTCTAAGATTATACTATGTGGTATATTCGATCAACTATATTCTTAAAATATTCACGGAAGAACAATCCATTTATATACATTCTATGCACACTCTTTCGGGAATAATCCTGCCATATTGATTCAAGCATATTCTAAGCCATGTATATATTCCATGAATATCTAGTGCTGTGTAGGTATGTACGTCCCATTTTCAAAATGGCTCGAAAGACGGATGTCACCAACTATAGAGAAATATGCATACTATAAGCAATTCCTAAACTTTTGGATAGGTAAGTCAGCAAACTGTTAACGAATGTTTGTAGATCATCAATAACACCAGAGCAGCATAGATTCACAAATTGTAGATCCACATTATCCAATTTAATTTATTATCAGTACTACATAACAAAAGAACTCGAGAGGTCTGCATAGGTTGATGTTATCTTTACGGACTTTTCCAAAACCTTCGATTGAGTCTCTCATAATTTATTGATGAATAAACTAGGATGTTAGATTGAATAAGTAGTTATCTGATAGGTTGTTCTCAGTCAGTGAGGTTAAATGAACCTTATGTAGTAAAATCAGGAGTACCTCAGGGATCCCATTGTGGTCCTCTTGCTGTCTTGCCTTTTCATCAATGACATTAATTCTTAAATTCAGTATTCAAATTTTCTCCTCTTTGCTGATGATCTCAAGATTTTCAGAGTAGTTGAAAATATTTATGATGCTAATCTTTTCCAAAAAGATCCCAATAATATATCAAAATGGTGTAATGCAAATTGTCTTTGTATCAATAGAAAGTGTTTCTCAATGGTATTTAGTAGATCACAATCAGCAATTCGATTTGATCACCAATAAAAAAATAATGTGTTGGATATAATAAAACAAGAATGTAAAGATTTAAGAACATTATTAGACAACAAGCTTTGTTTTAATAACCATGTGAACTATGTATCCCAAACAGCGCTCAAAATGCTTGGTTTTATTGCCTATACAAGTTTTATATTTCTCTCTAGTCAGATATATTGTTGAATACAACACCATAATTTGGAACCCAAGTATATTCATCAATTAGAAAATGTGCAAAGAAAATTTCTGAAAATCATAGCATACAAACTAGGTCTAGTTGTTAGTGAATATAACTACAATTAAATAATGAACTAGATGAGACTTACCAGATCGCAGAATTTTGACATCGTTGGTTTGTTTACCTCTTTACAATAATCTCTGAGATAATCGACTCTCCACAAGTTCTCTCTATTATACCATTCAATGTTCCGAATAGTTTTCATACACCCATCTCAAATATATTGAGATTGGGAAATTTATGTTGTGAAAATATTGCTTTTTTTGCGGGAATCCTAATATTTGTAAAGAAACAAGTAGCTAGATTGTTGTTCAGTTGATATTTATTTATAATTATTGGCAATGTTGCACAAAATTTTTATTTCAATAATGTTATTTTATGTTATTTTGCCTTGGTCAAAGAAGAAACGGACTGGTTTAAGTTTGACGATAGTCGTGTCACGAAGTGTTCTGGCGATGCATTGAATTTATTGGAGCCTCTGGAGACACCCTACATTTTGTTTTATGAGAGAGAGGACATTGTTAGATCAAGATCTTCAGATGATGTGGTGCTGCAGGTTTTTCCGGGTTTTCCTGCAGCTGAAAAAGCAAATGCGCCACTGGAATCAATGAAGTCGCCCCGGAGCGCCAATTAATTTTTATTGTTGTATTTATTTTATTTTTATCGTTAGTGAAACATAATATACATATCTCTGTTTATATATTTTTATTTTGATATTTTTGTAATTTCTTGACTGTATTGGGGTAACCCCTTTATAAATAAAGCAATGAATAAACAGAATGAAGGCTCAAGGTTATTCATTCTTGTACAGTTGATTTTACATTTATCGCCCCATAAAGCATGGCCGAATGCATGACTGTTGTTTATTTAAAAAAATAATATAATGAAAACCGTTAAGGAATTTATCGCCTTTCGTTTAGAGGTCACTTTTCCGAAAATGCAAATCTTTCTATTTTTCCGTTCTAGTGTTTTGTATGGTGTTTGGTTCGGAAAGATCCCAGTCATAAATATTATCTGAATTTATGAAAACCGGACAAGATCGTTTGGAAAATTATCTCCCCCACTTTTCCAAGACTTTCAGGTGCACCCCTTAAAACTCACAGCATAATTCCGAAACTCACTTTCTACTTCATGAAAATCATACATTTTTAAGACGTATCAAATGACTCCTGAAAATTCAGCATCTGCTTTTAGTCTGAGTAGTCTTAAGTTTCAAGACATAACAAATGTAGACCAACATGAAACTTGCAACTCAAGACTGGTGTAAGGATCCACCTCAACAACATCACTTTTATAAACGTATACAAGATTAGATTATAAGTATTTCGTAAAAATTTCAATAAAATACCTGTATGTTCAAAGTTTTACTGGTTTTATGTAAATTCAGCTTAAAACTCGTTGGAATATCATTTGACCGTTTGACTTATAATTTTACCAGAGTTTAGGTACAAACTAATTTAAAATTTAAATGCTGTAAAGGAAATTTCACCAAGAGAGGGGATGAATTCAATTATATTTGGTCACGCAGTATATTTTCCGAAATCTTAAATGTATTATTTCCAAACATTTCAAAAGATTGAGTTTCAAATATTTCTCTTTTAGGTGTAATAAGTCATATTCTTGGTTGAACTCATGCTCCTCTGCTATGGTTTGCCAATGTAGAATTGGCGTTCACATTCATGAAACTTCTCCTGTACTCTTTTATTCTTTAGGAAAATGTTCTCCCCCGTTTGGCCACTATGAAGTTTTTAGCAAAAACCACTAATTTACTTATATACTCCTGATCAATAGGACACTGGAAGTGTATCTTTATTGTTTCTAATGAATTTGCTTGAATTATCATTTGTTTCTTAAGCCAAATTTTTCTTTCTCAAAAAACGAGAGATGTTATTGGTGGGTTCACCAAAATTTGTCAGTGTTCTATGACACTTAATATGCACTTTATTGATTCATTATAACATAAAAATTAACAGTTCAAAAATAACTTTTCAAAACGCTCAAAAGGTACGAACTCCTTTTCATAAAACAGGATATATGCATCTCCACTCACAACCGATTTTTGGTGAAATTGTTGACACATGTGAATCATTGTATTCGTGACACGTGCCAGTATAGGGATGTCTGCATAATGCAGTATAATATATCCGTTGTAAGTAGACCCACTGTGATTCGAAAGTGCATATAGGTTATAACAACAAGGAGTCACATTGTCTGCTGCATAATTGTTCATATCTAATCCATCTAGAGGAAATTCGATGGCAACATTTAACTTTCCTCTAAATCTTTCTGTTAGAAATAATCTTTTAAAATGAATGACTAAAATACGGGGAAACTTATAGATTGATAAAGACTTTGTGCATTTTCTCCTTTCCTCACGTCCATCCAAAGTTTCCTCTCTTGTGAAGAAATCCAAGCATTGTGATAAACTCAATTGGCCAGTTCTTTGTGGTATGGGAAGTGATAAATCCCAGAAAGGATCGAAGGTTACAGATGAGTGTCCACAGTGTGTGCACTGCATGGTAGATTTGAATTGACCAACGAAATTATCTAATATGACTTTTTTTTAAGGAGATTGTGTTCACTGCTTTATCAGATGAATCTTCTGACCACAATCTTTGATAACTTCTGCAAAAGCTTCGATTAAAGCACCTTCCATACTAGAAATATTAGTATTGATTTATTTCATGTACTCACCCTTTTTCAAACATTCTTGGTAAATTGCTTTTTCTGTAGTTTTTTGAAAAAAAAAAAACTGAAGTCAATATCTACCTTGTATCCATAGTTGACAGCAATTTTTTCGGTAAAACCTTGTTTTCTTCAAAAATTTCTTTCTGGCAGTGGAATATTCAATAGTCTGTCAAGTATACTATTTATGCTGATAGAGATTTTGAAAAGGAATTATGCATGATATTATCTGTATGAGATGGTTTGTAGTACAAAAGTGCTAAGAAACTCGTAGATATTTTTCAAGATATGTGATGTAATTGGCCGATTACCATAATATAGTCAAGTAACACTTTATTGTGAGATTTTCACTAAACAGTTTGATAAAACACGTCTTTCACTCTTCCCGATAATGCTGAATTCATATCGTTTAATTTTCAAAATTCACTTCCCAGTATTCCGCCAATTGAAACAATTGAGCTAGTTGAGCGTGTCTTAGAGAGACCATGTCAATTCCGTAATCAAGCAGCAAATTCTAGATCTACTTACTCTTGATCTATCTCAAAATGATTTTTAATTCAGGGCTAATAATGGGAAACCTGTTGAGTCGTTTCCTAGCTGAAATTTTTATAGATATCTACCTTTAAAATCAATTTCATAATAATCAGTTGATTAAAAGTTAGTCTGTTTGACAGCTAGACAGTTAAGCAATTTTGTCCAATTTGTCAATTTCATTCGTCTTTATGATGCACTGTTTGGAACCTTTGGTGTAGTAATGAATATTGCTGGAGTTTTTTCCCAACACCAAATCGTTATTTTTAACACCTCGACACGTGTTTCGATCACCTTGTAAATTTTTTGGGAAAGAAAGTTTTTGGCTTTGTACTACTCCATCTTGATACAAAAAATGTGAGAATCTTCCAAAGGAAGAAAGGAAGTAATCAATTTTAAAATGAGTAAGTCTATACATGGATGTATAGATCATGCAAAGAAGTAACTTTCATATACAAACTGGAAGAAAACAGCTACTTTCATATAAACATTGAATTACACGAAAGAAAAATTCTTTCAAAACAAAAACTTTCATATGAACACTGAATACAGAAGACACTATTCCTTAGTCAGTTTGTATTCCAAATACTCGTTGTGGAATAAAATCAGGTAACATTCATAGGAATTCTACATTAAATGAATGGTAAAAAATTGCACTTACATGGAACACTGTCATCCTCACTGGTACACATCGATGTCGATGACATCGTAATGTCATTCTTTCACCTATTTGATTAAATCCCAGCCAACAGGAATATTGTTTAAATAGGGAGGGTTATATTTTTAGGGGTGACTAAAATTCCTTTGAATGTTACCTGATTTTATTCCACAACGGATGTTTGGAATACAAACTGAGTAGAGAATAATGTCTTCTTATAATTCGGTGTTCATATGAAAGTATTTGTTTCGAAAGAATTTTTCTTTCGTGTAATTCAATGTTTATATAAAAGTAGCTGTTTCACGAGGGCTTTTCTTCCAGTTTGTGTCTGAAAGTTACTTCTTTGCATGATCTACACATCCATGCATAGAGTTACTTATTTCAAAATTGATTACTTCCTTCCTTCCTTTGGAAGATTTCTACATTTTTTTATCAAGATGGAGTAGTAGAAAGCCAAAAACTTTGGCTTCCAAAAAATTTGTCACTCCTAAAAATATAACCCACACTAGTGAAACAATATTTCTGTTGGCTGGGATTTGTCAAATAGGTGAATGAATGACATTACGATGTCATCGATGACATAAGTAGATAAAACTTATTCCGTGACATAACAAATCATAATTCGTTAATGAATTATGATTTTTTATAGTGCTAGTGTGTAGTGCTATATTTTGAACCATATTCATTATAAATTATAACGCCTTGGTCAAAGAAGAAACGGACTGGTTAAGTTTGACGATAGTCGTGTCACGAAGTGTTCTAGCGATGCTTTGAATTTATTGGAGCCTCTGGAGACACGCTACATTCTGTTTTATAAGAGAGAGGACATTGTTAGATCAATATCTTCAGATGATGTGGTGCTGCAGGTTTTTCCTTTCCTGCAGCTGATAACGCAAATGCGCCACTGGAATCAATGAAGTCGCCCTGGAGCACCAATTAATTTTTATTGTTGTTTTTATTTTATTTTTATCATTGTTTTAATAAAATTTTCATTTGTATTTGTATGCTGTTGAGTATTTAAAAAACAACTTTTAGTGTAATTATTTTTTATCTCGAAAACCGATAGAGATAGGTATAGGACATTATAAACAAAAAAGTATTATAATAAATTAGCGTTTCCAAAAATGTATGAATATACGGGGTGTTTTATTTAAAAAAAAGTAGCTAGGACTTTTTGATGTTAGTGGTGATGCTGCAATGCTGAAAATATTTTAGTTCAATAGAACAGTTGAAGAAATATAAAATGTGAAATTTTCAGAAAAATCCTGCGTTGTGTTTACCAGAAACGTCTAACCTACCACCGACCATGAGTCACGCTGTATATCAGTGGACATTAAAATACCTTCTGAAAAGACTCATTTCAGCTAAGGTATTGTAAGGTTCATTCAAAAAATGTACTATTTAAATATTTTGACAAAGTACTTTATTGTAATTTTATGTTTCTGGTTACACTAGATTTATAGCTATTTTTCATTGTTTTCTGTTTTTGTAGGAGAAGAAATGCAAAAATGGGTATTGGATCAGCCTGTATCGGAGGAGGACAAGGAATAGCAATCATGGTAGAAACAGTGTGAATGTACTTTTATATCATCAATTTACAATGTTATCAATGTCATGTTTTTATATTCATTAAGAATGAAATTTTTGCTACAGTAATGAGTGAGTATTTTTCATTCATCACATATTGTTCGATTTAAATTCTTATAAGATATTGATTTTTTGCCGATACTCATAATTACAACGTTAAAAAGAATTGAAATTTTTCAAAAATTCAATATTGTGACAATTCCTACACACTTCTTAGCACCTCAAAATCATGACCATCCTTTATCTCTTCTACTACTTAGGATTCCCCCCAAAGCTGAAGAAGGAACATCCTGAAAGTTCAACTAGCCTTCTATGATAGAATGGGATAGAAATTATTCCTTGTTAAAAAAAATTTCAATTGCTTTACAAAATTCTTATACAATTTTTTCAGAACTCAAGTACTAGGCGAAATATTAAATAAACACAGTATTTTCCCCTTTCTTTGGATTTTTTTCATTAACAATAATTGGGAGTTTAAAATTTCCCCACAGAGTAAAATGCATTTTGTATCAGATAACTATAAAGTTGTCTTGAAAGTGTGGAAACAGCATATGTTTCCAACTGGTTTAACCTTGAGGATATCTTGTCTTTGTTAATCGAGAGTCACATAGGCTAAGCCCTTCTGTGTATATTATAGTCATGAAATATTTTTTTTTTTGTTTAGCGATTATACTATATATACTATAGCGATTATATTATACTAGCCATGGATATACCATGGCTAGTATGTGAATACAAAAGCAACAAAAAGTTTATGAACAGTTGAGTGAATTTACTCTTTCATAATTCCTTGTTCTTAACGTATTTCAGCAAGGCACCTCAAGTGAAATTTGATTTTATTCGGAAATGCACTCCATACGCAGTATTGGATTGTATAAGTTTATAGTAGGTTATTTTTTGCACATCTAGTATGACTGTTCCATGCAACTGCTTCTTCACAAAACACATTAAGATTTTTTCTATATACCTATACTTTCCATGTTAGATTTAGTACTTGCTAAATCTATTTAATATACTTGATAATCTATTTATATAAGTCTAGTCATTCATTGTAACAGACTGCCGGCAATATAACCGAAAGACCGTCCATTGGAGCTAACTTGAATTGAAATTTCCCTAGATACGAGCTATCAAAATGGATGTGGAGAAATTAATATTACCATTAGATACCCCTTACTATGTAAAGAAACAGAGGGCAAAAAAAAACACAAACACACTGAATCCATCCCATCCTTGCAGAAAGGTGCCGCCTTGGTGAGTTTCACCATTTACATACCAAGATCCAAGGGGATAGTGTCAGGTTTTTTAATTACTATCCATTTCAAAATTGTCAAATTTTCGAGAAGTTATATTACCAGAAGAACGCTTAGCGGTAACTTTAAGGATATTTAATAATAACTCGTAAAGTTCGAACAAAAATTTTTATTTCAATGATTTTACAAGATATTTATATTCATTATACTTTGGATATTTCTGAAAATCAACTTCCATGTCATTGAACATCTGTGAAGTCAGATACATAACTTTGACTAAATCAATTCGTCGTTGTAAAGGCAGTAAATTACAAAGTTCCGTTTTCTTTTTTTGGAAATTGGGTTAAGTGGGGTTACATAGGAGGTGGGACATCATAACTGTTCGAGTTTCATTACGGATTTGTTTTGAAGCACTATCTTCAGTAGTGGTTTCTTAACTACCTGAAGTTGAAGCTTGTATTGGCGTTTCTTTGGTTATATTTTTCCTCGGAGGAACATTGCCATGAAGTTTCCGATGGTTTACCGCACTTTTCAAAAAAATCTGATCAAAGTATGGTCAAGTCGAGTCGCCTGTATCGATCGCTTCGTTTCTAAATTTTTTCTCAAGATTTTTATTATATTTTTTGCGAAATGTATCACGAATCCCTTGCAATTTTTTTCACTTCCTCCACCGGAACATAAAAAAAGAATCATTGACAGAATTGATTTAAAATAAATCAAGGGTAATTAATATTTCAATGTTATTTATATAAAAGTCATCACAAGAAAAATTGAAATAATTTGAAATAGATTGGGTTCAAAGAATTGGAATTAAATGTGCTGTGAAATTATGATTTGGCTACTGGCTCTTTGTTCATAACATTGAGATATTCCTTCAGAATTTCTGATGTGACGGTTGAGAGAATCGTTAAAGAGACATGTGCAATGATTTGGGACATCTACGCTGTACACTTGCACTTTCTGCAAGGAAGACGAGATCAATACTAGAGTTGAGCAGTTTTGGAATAGATGTAAATTCCCTAATTGTGTTGGATGTATAGATGGTAAACATGTGTGCATACATGAAGCATTTCATTCTGGGAGTAACTCCAGGAACTATAAACAGTATTTTTCAATTGTATTGCAAGCAGTTGATGTCCCGAATTATAGATTTTTGGCCATTGCTGTCGGTGCATTAAGTACTTGACGGCACTCAACTCTTCCAGGAATTGATATAACAGTTTCCTACGTGCTCTCAGAGGACGAATCATATCCGTCAAAACCCCACTTGATGGGAATGTACCCTTTAGCCAAACTAGGACAACAAGCGACTTTCAAAATCTCGTCAAGTGGTGGAAGGCACTTTTGATATCATGGTATAGCAAATGGAGGCTATTGTACAAAAGATTTATGTTAACCCTGCTGAGTGCATCTGCTTGTTGCATAACATAACAATCGATAAAGAAGGAGCATCAACAAACTTCACAGCTTTTTCTGACATCAGCAAGTTAGTAATCGATCGGAAAACAGCTTTGCTTCCCTTGGTGAAAGTAGGGGCTATCAATGAAGTATATGATATCAGTTCAAAACATTTTTTTATACACAAGAAGATTTGACATAATGTGAATAATTACAAAACCTCTATTTCAAGTGTACATTTATAGCTCACCAGCTCAAAAATAAAACTACACTTCGAAATGTCCTCATAATTTCATCATTACTTCACGAATTGAAATATTTTTCAAATTTATTCATTTCAATTAAAGAACTAGACAAATTCTCTAAAGATGTGTTGTGAATCCTTGGCAGTTGATCATATGTTGATCATTTTGATATTATCAAATCATTCTGTCCCATTAGTCATAATTAGTCCAACTAGAATTTTGTCATATTTTGATGGTGAAACAAATGCAACCATTTTAGACTATATCATTTCCAATTTTCCGAATATTACAATGCATGAAACTTTCGATAACTTTCGATCCAGTGTTTTAGGATCATTTTACACAATTATTGGAGTAGCCTCAGGATGAAATAATGATACTATCTCAAAGTTTATTATTTTTTTCGATAGAGAAACTATCGATATAGACCGCTTTGGAAATGTAAATTTGGTTTTTGAAATTTTTTAGAAATGTTTTCTCTTGATATTTCCTGTCCCAAAAGTTCTTGACGCAAAACACATAAAAATACATTTTTTTTTAAACTCTCTCCTGAAATACTAAACCACCGAAAACCAGTAACTATGAATGACGCACCAAATAAGGATCCCAGAAAAGTAACTATACAACAAAATGTGAACAATTAATTTTCATTCGATCATAATAATTCTGATTCTACAGATGACTACAAAGATGATGACACATTTTCGTTCCTACAACTATTGAAGTGTAATTCAGATGGAACTCATTAGAAATTACAAAAAATTCCTATCTCCTTTCCTTGGCAAAATAATAAATCTCTCCGAAGCAAAAGTAAAATTCGTCATTCAGTAACCAATTATAACATTACCTATCGGGTCAAGGAACGGAATTTAGTTAGGTATTCATTAGTCTGAAAAGATTTAGTCGACAGATTTTCAATCTAGTGTATCAAGAGTCTTGTAAATCAACTTTTGAAAAAATGAAATACTCACAATAACTGTGGGAATTCTATTTAAAATCATGTACGTTCATAAAAGATATTATCCATAAAAAGTTTTCGAAATCTATCTTATAAGCGGTCGCCAGAATGGGCGGGAAGTTTCTACTATAACTTGCAGAAGAATATAAGGGAAGATTCTAATGAAACATTCAAGAAAAGTGTGAAAGCTATGTGTATCGAAATTCTAGGTGTCGAAAGATTCAAACGAATTGTTCTACCCCAGTTCTAACCCCACTAGAAGTGGGCGGGGTTTATGGCTCCAAAACACTAGGAGTGTTACCAATGTCCAGATTCTTCCAAAGCAAATGGAGTATATAAATTGTAAAAGCGAATCAGATTCGAAAGACGGCAGCGGACCAGGTAGGTGGAGCCTGCGCGCGCTCGCCGCGAACATATAAATACGGCGCGTCGCGATCGGCAAAGGAGCTAGATAGGGAAATAAAAGCACCTAAAGGCTGGTTTCCAACCAAAAGAGGTTAGATATCAATCTTGCTGAAGTGCCAGCAGCTGGATTGAGGACCGTTTCCTTATGAAACGGGGGTGGAAGGAAAGGGTCGCCAGGTCCAAACCTGCGGAAGCATTTCCGTAAGGAGGGAGCTTGCGACCTGGGCACACAACCCGGGAGGGGCATGGGGGGATCGGCAAAGGACATTGTTCGACCGCTAACAGTAGAGTCAACTTCCTAAAACCGTTCTTTTAGCTGGCGATTACAAATCCAAGCAGAATTCAGAATAATAAATCTCAGAGGAGATTTATTGGAATTTTGAATTATTATCTCAGAGGAGATTTGTTGGATAATATTTGGTATTACGACGATATAGTTGTTACTGGAAATTAACAAGGACTGGACATGTTCAGAATGTTTGTGGTATAAAGTGTCACGCCTGTGGCAAATATGGGCACAAGGCTTTTCAGTGCAGAATTAAAAAGGAAAACAGGGCTAATTATGCTGAAGGCCATGGTCTGCGTGAATCGAAGGGCGAACACAACATCCGATCGGTCTGTAGAGGAAGCAGTGGCTTTTTGTACTACTTCGGACAGTTTCAATAATGTTCATGTGACAGAATGGCATGCTGACTCTGGTGCTACGCATCACTATATCAACTGCAAAGATGTCTTGGTAAACAAAAGGGAATTCACCGAACCAAGGTTGATTCAACTTGCTGCGGAAGGAAAATGTATGAAGGCTGTGTG